TTTTAGTTGAATATATATATATATATTCATTTTTTAATGATACATTTTAAATGCATTAAAATGAGAATGAAGATGGGAACATGTGATAAAAAGGTGGAGGGAAATTATGGGCTAAGTTTATAGGTGGTGATTGAAAATTAATGGTGATTGTTGTTGACTGGGGACAATGAGTGATGGCGGCGGGCTTCGAATGTATGAAACGTAAGAACTTTTGTCATATTACTCAATTTTATTTTGTATATTTATTTGCTTATAAAAGCAAAAGAAAAAAAAAGTAATATACTGCTAATATAGCCGAGAAATTTGTTATTTAGCCTCTAAAGAAGTAATTCAGTTATTTCTATTATGACAAATTTTTGCTATTCTGGAATTACATTTTTTCTATTTATTATGTATATTTTTTTTTGGGAATTTACATACATACCACCAAATTCTTATGAACATAATACCTATTTGATTTTCACAGTTATAGCGCATAAAAATATTACTATTTTAATTTTTAAAAATTAAAATATTTAATTTCATTCGTGAGTAAGGAGTCATATATGTATGTAAATTAATTAAAGTTTGTGTTATGCATGTAAATCTCCCAATTTTCTGTTCTCTGTTCAAATCACTTTCTACCGAATTAATTAGCTTTTGATCAATCGGTTTTTCCAATAGCTTAATATGCGGATTTGAGCACCAAATGTTTTCAGGGGCATGTAGGCATACATTGACTTTCAACTTCAATGGTTTAATTGAAAAAATTCTGCTAATTTTTGACAAAATTATTTTAATTAATATAAAATAATATTAAAATTTTCATATTTTCCATGTGCTACTTCGCTTTGATTTCAAGAGAATCTAAAATAGGAAAAGGTCTAACCTAATATTCAACGGTTCTAGTGGCTCAACCTTTCTCATGGCTAATGGGTTCAGTTAATATAGCACTAGTTTGAAATAGTATTATAGCTTACTTAATTTTAAGAACTCTTCCCGAAAAAAAAAAAGCATTTACCACAATTCCTATATATTTTTTATATCCGAGGCCTAACTTTTATATTTGCATGCATACAACTCAAATCCTTAATATTATATAAAAATGCCAATATTATTTACTTTCTAAAAGTGAAATGGATACTTTCATGCATAGTTTATAATTGCACGACTCTATAAAACTAAATATCAAACTTTAAGTGTTAGATATGTAAATAGAAAAAGGATTCCTCTCTCTCTCTCTCTCTCTCTCTCTCTCCACACACACATACATGTTCATAAAAAAAATGTGCCAGTGTTAGTCTTGAGGAGATCTGACGGTTTATAAGGAAAGAATACGATAAAAGAGGGCCTATCGACAGAAGGCAATAAAACCTACTTGTTTGACCTGGTGAAGCTGTTAGAGCCAAAGTCAACAAGGCCAAAGCCAATCAAGCCATGAGGATGATAAAATACAACCAAAAGATTCGAGCCCAAACTAATCAATCAGAAACAGGACAAAGAGACATCTGAGCCAACCACCATGGAACAACCAGACTAGATCAGTCGATCGACTCATTCCAACCAGGTTTAGCCGACCAAGCTGATGTTATTGATCAAGTCGGTTGAGTTAATCTTGCTGACCCGAAGTCAATTAAGCTTAGCCGATCAAACTGAAGAACAACCAGACAATTAGCTCATACTTGTTAAATACTAGAAATATCCCAATACTGACCCTTAAAGCAAGACCAAAAATATATTATCATTATATTGTACTATCACTCTTATAAATGGATAGATCATTTGATGAATAAGACACGACATATTACTGTTCAGTCCTCTCTCTGTCTCGGTTTCTCTCACCTTTTTTATGCTCTATTATTTGGGTGTGATTCACAAAAAAAATCAGGATTCAACATCCTAAAAGGTACGGTAAATATGGATCATGCCACAAACAAGAAGATAAGTAGCCCAAGGAGAACAAATCCACAACAAAGACATGATAACATTGCGTACAATAGAGAGTTAGTAACTCAACAGATCTAGGAGTTGAAGCATCAAATTTTGGACATTATCCGAGTTGCGTTGGCTTGTGGAAGAGAGCAAAACCTCGGAGAAGAAGGGTTGTCACCCAACGATTGAATAGTCTCGTCGTCCCTGAAAAGAGAAGGTGAATCCCAGTACTTCAATAGTGCTCAGTCGATACTAATTGACTAACATCAATTCAGGTGTATTGGGGTGCCCCAATAGCATGAGAAAGCATTAGCTTGGCAAATATCTGAGGTGAAGCCCCTAGAGAGATTCAAGATCCTGAAATTGGAGACCTACAAGGGGCATACCGATCTGACCAACCTCATAAACTAGTTTGAACCGGTTGCTTGCTTCTTGAGGATCATCGATGCATTGAAATGCCACCTCTTATTTACAATGCCAAGGGATTCAACCCTCAGATAGTTTAATGGATTACTGTTAGGAGTGATAGCATCATTCACTACTTTAAAGTAGATGTTGTGACATAGTTTGCCTACTCCCATAAGCCTCAGTAAAACTCGTAGGACCTCTCCGAAATCCATCAAGGATAGAGCGAGAGTCTTCACTCATTATTCACATGCTTCTAGAAGAAGATGTTGGATGTAAGAAACCTGAAACACACGGTTGTACTTGCTGCCCTAACTCAAGGGCTGAAGGAACTAATTTTTTAATATTGATTGGGTTTTCAGCGACTGAAGATGCTAGCCAAGTTGTTGGAGTTGGGCAACAACCACATGTCGGTCGAGGAGTATAACTCCAATCTCATTTCCTCTATGTAGAATCTCTCACTTGTCACTTGTATAATCCCCCCCTCACTCCCAACATGGTGAAGGGTGGAGACTAAAACATTATTCACGTCCTTCTGCCCTTCCTTGATATGAAGACGCTTGGCTGCCCTAGGGTTACAGGGTGGCTGATAAAACATACCACTGAGGGAGTCTGGCTCAACAAGATAGCCAACGAACAACAAGATATAATAAGCACCAGCTGCCTAACAAAGATGTATCCAAAATAACTCATTTGATGGTATCAATGATCGAGATAGTAGGGCTATATAAAATAAAGATCACTTCAAGAGAGCACCTCTAATGAAAATAAAACCTTATCTTTAGGGCCCCAAGAAGTATTCCACCTATCATCGAGAACATGGGAGACATGGAAGAGTGTCGATACCTCCAAGGCCTGATCGAAGAGCTGTAAGGCTAGAAAACTAAAAGAGTTTGTAGCTCTAGGAGCAAGGGCTCAGTGTTAGGGGAATGCTTTGGTGGAGGAAATATCAGATGAGCCAGACCAAGCCCATCAAATACAAAACACTGATATAGTTCTTGCTATCTTCATAGGAGGAAAAGACTCATCATCTCGAGTGATATACCTAAAGTATATAATTTTTATGTACACATTTTTATACCTATTTTTTGAGATATTGAGCTTTAATAAAAGATATTTGTACGTTTTTATTTCAGGTATAATCAAATGGTGAAATGAGTAAAAAAGGATCAAATTTGGAGCAAAAATGAAGAAGGTGTGAAATTGAACTGAGGCGCCTAAGTGCCCGGAACTGGCACTTATGCGATAGTGAAATAGAGAAAGCCACACCTAAGCGCCAGTACCCCACGCTTAAGCGCCAGAAGTAGTTACTTGATGATTGAATGAATTTGGACAAATTTTTGAAGAGGTGTTTGAAGCAACCCTTGGTGAAAACGTAAGAAATAATTAATGGACACGAAAATTCATTCAGTTGGCTTTTGAAAGGAGACAACTTGTACAAGATTCATTGAATGTGAACACATTTTGAAGAGACATCAAGACACCATTTGGAAAATTATAATAGAAGACTTGGATTGAAGGGAAGGAGAACCATCATCCATCATCACCAATTCCATTTCACACGCCATCGCCGCCCATAGCCGCCGTCGCTGCCCATAACCGCCGTCGCCGCCGCAACTTTTCTTTTTATTTTAAGTTGTAGTTTGTGTTGTAAGTGAATGAAGAGATTCAAAGGAACTTCAAGGCTTTGGTGGAGAGGATTTGAGATAAGTTTTTATCTTTGTGACTACGTTTATTTTTAATTTAGACTTATTGTTTGTTTGCATGATTTCTACTTACAAACTTAACTGCGGTTGTGTTTTCTTCATGAATTCTGAGTAGTTTTCTTTAACTTTTTTCTTAAAATGACAAGTGATTAAGTATTGGATGGAAGTTGTGTGAAGTATTAGTCTTTAATCTTGGAAGAAGTTGTGATGATTTTAAACCTTGTACTTAATTTACTTCTTGATTTTGCTAATTAAGAGGTTAAAATCTGTTGTTAAAACATGTAAGATCCGAGATGACATTGTCTCAGTCAACAAATGGTAAGAATCACATGAAATTATATGCAGGATAATGTATTTCATATGATTAAGTGCAAATAAATAAGGAAATAAACTTTGAAGGGTGTAGAATTAGAGGACTTTAGAGTTATAGGCTAAAGCCCTCAATTTGATTTTCAATTTGATTTATAGTTTTATAGTTTTAGGTTTTGATACGAGATGTTAGCCCCCAGGTAGAGGGAGAAGAGGGAACTCTAGAGTGAGAAGCTAGCATCATCCTTACCTAACATGTCCTTAAGACCATTAAAACTTTAAATTAGCCGATGTTCTTTATAGCATCTCTAGTAAGGGTAAAGAATACTATTGCTCCTTTTTGGCATAACCCAATTTGAATACTTCCACGA